GTAACATTTCTTGTAAACATTTCTAAAGGCTTTGTACATCTTTACAGAAAGGGTACCAGGGTTTGGAGGCATATAAGATTATCATTTTCTATTCCATTTACTATCTTAGTGATCTTCAGCAACTGCTTTCAACTTATTAAGTTATAGTTTCCTCTTCTTCAATAAAAGGGCAATGATATGTTAAAAAACTAACAATTATTTATAAAGTATATATGCATGTATATACCATGTTTGCCCCAAAATAAGACCTAGCTGGAAATAATCAGCCTTGAAAGCTAGCAGTCAAAAATAGCAGCCCCAGTCAGCCAGTGCTTGCCTTTCCTGCTTTGCAGAGGAGCCACTGAAGAGGAGAACAGTGACAGCAGGGATAGGCTAATGGGGGACTGGCGTTTTTGATCCCTAGTTTTCAAGTCTAATTATTTTCCAGCTATTTTCAGGGGAAAGATAGAACGTGTGTGTGTGTGTGTGTGTGTGTGTGTGTGTGTGTGTGTATTACTTGTTACTGTGCTTGGCATATAACATTCATTCTAAAATTGCTTGTATTATCAGTAATAATAATTAAAGTGGTAAAAGGTTAGAGAAAGAAAAAGAATGTGACTTTTATTAAGCATTTATTATAAGCTTATAAATTTATTTCTTTGACATATACATTCATGGTACTTGGTTTTTATTTTATAAATGTTACAGTCTTTTAATCTCATAAAATAATTTGGAAATCAGGACAAAAATCCTATTTTATTCAAAAAGCAATATTATGTGACATTCAAATCTATATTCAGGACTCAAGTTAGACAATAAATTGGCAAAAATAAATAATAAATTTCTCTGTTTCATATCATTTTAGTTATCTACATAATTTCCTGTTTCCCTCTTATTATAAATTGTAAATACATATATTTTATTGATTTTAACTTTAATAAAACTTCATGTATGTATTTTACTAAGAAGTATAAATATTCTCAGATATGGAAAGGAAAACATATAGACAGGCATTTTGTCATGAGTTTATATTTATTTATGAAATTAGTCTGCCTAAACTTGAGTGGTTTTAATTCTCTACTCTCCCTCTGAGAGAGGATAGAAGGAAGAATTAAATGTTGTGTTAAATTAATTCATGGTCAAGAAAAGTACAAAATACTTTTCAACTGTTTCTCTTCTCTATGTTGATTCATTCTGATTGTTTTGAGCAAAATGAAAGGCAAAGAACAAATTTAAATGAGTTGTGTTATAATTTAGTTACAATATACTTATGACAATGAATTTTAAAATAATATTTTAAAGCTAAAATAATTCTCAAATCCTTTCACATAACATTCTGTCTTTTGTGGAGTAGATTACACTGGGCACAATATCTTGGTCTTCACTATTGTCCTTACATTGCCTTTCTTAAAGCAATTTTGAAACGAGGTATTTATGCACATCTTTGTAGTGATCTCTGATGACTTATTATTTGCAAATATTATTGTATAAGAAAAGTTTCACATCATTCACTTATTTCTGAATTGGCTAACAGCAATTCATCTTTTTGGTCTTAACTGGTATATTGGTCCACTTTTCACCACTGAGACAAAGTACTTGAAATCCACAATTTAAAGGAGGAGAAGGTTATTTTGGCTTAAGGTTTCAGAGATTTCAGTCCATCATCACCTGATTCCAAGGTAAAACTTCATGACTGAATGGCATTGTGAAGGAAAGCTGCTCACCTCATGGCAGCCAGAAATCAGAGGATGAAAGAGCCAGAGAAAAGATGGACCCTTCACAAGTGCATGCCTAGTGACCTACTTTCTCCAACTAGGCTCCACCTCCTAATAGCCCATTCAACTATGGTCTCAGCAATTAATTGATTCACTGATTAGGTTAGTACTCTCATAATCCAATCGCCTTCCAAAGCTCCTCCTGTGAGCACCTGACACCATGAGGGAATGGTTCAGTTGAAAACCATAATATCTGAGATATCAGTGGCTTCTTCATTGCAAATTATTTCTCTCTCTCTCTCTCTCTCTCTCTCTTTCTCTCTCTCTCTCAGCAAAGTCTTGATGTAAATACTTGGCTGGCCTTGAACTCACCATGACCCTCCTGCCTCAGCCTCCCAAATGCTGGAATTACAGGCATGTGCCACCCCACCCACCTTAACTCTCTTGTATGCTTCCTCTCCAACATAGCAACACAGACATATATATATTTACTTGTGTCTATAGTAACAATACTTTATATATTGAATGCTAATTGTCGTTCATTTCTAGCTTTCACAGTGGAAATTATTATCTTCACACATGAGTTTCCCACTGAGTAATCCCTAGAATATACATTTTAAAAATGTACAGAGAAATGAATTAAGGAATGCAAATATAATAACATCATGACAGTAAAATTTCTCTAATAATAATAAACCAATAATGTTAATCAATAATTTAATCATTATATCAATATGGAACTAAAAATATATGATATTTGGTTTGCTACCTTGGATATCAATATATATACCATAACAGATAAAAGTTTACCTGCAATTTTACCATCCAATAATAGCTACCTTTTTCTTCCATACTGGGAATTGAACCCAGAGCCTCCCCACTGAGCTACATCCTTGGTCCTTTTTTAAATTTCAAATTTTAATGTTGAGACAAAGTTTTACAAAAATCATTAATCTAATCAGGCTGGCTTTAAACTTCTGATCCTCCTGCCTTATTATTCTGCGATTACTGGCATACACTTCCATGCCTAGCTGTAATACCTACTTTTGTGATATATTTTCTGTCTATCCATAATATTCTTATCACATACCAAACTTAACAATGCATGAATATCCATCTATCTTGCATAATTACAAAGAACCCAACCCATGGAGAATTGTCTCCTAAAAGTTAACAATCTTATTTTATAATCTTCTAATTATATTTTATAGAAATCTATTATAAACTTTTATATATGTACTGCCTTATATAGCACTAAATAAAATATTTAATTTTTATTACTTATACGTATGTCTATTAGAAACCTATAATTATTCTCCATATTTGAATTTGGCATACATAAAACACAGTCCAAATTCATCACATATGTTGTGACATATACCTATGAAGAATGCAATGAAGTTCATTAAAAATGTCTCTTTACTTTTTATTTCCTCAAATAATTTATTTTTATTCATTTTGTAATTGTTGTTGTTTTGCTTCGATTAGACTGTTGGTTATGAAGCTGTTTGAAATTGTCTCTATTTGAATTGTCTTATAACACAAACCAATGAGCCAGAGATTATCAACCCATCCTAGCCTCTCAGTACAGAGTCTTTTGACAACAGAAAATTGAAGTGAAGCACTAGGGGAGCATTTGCTAGCTATTTTCCACCACTGCATTCACTAGTGGTATTGTCTATACACAAAGTTTATAAACAGATTTGCAACAAAACTTACTTTTCAGATTCTTATGATTCCAGTCTATCTCAAAAGCAGATAACCAAACTTCTAAACAATCTTCCAATGATATAAACACCACTACTGTCTTTACCTATTCCTACCTCCCAATGTTCTTTACCCCTTCCCCATTACAAGTTTAAGCAAACATAGTGGGCTCCTTCTCACTTTAAGTTTGGAAAGTGCAGCCATATTTTCACTCATTAAAATTAAAAATTTAGTTCATATCACATCTTTTTCAATTATGTAATCTTGTTTTCATTTTTGTCTGAATAGCTGGGCTGGAGGTTTTATAATTGGGGAAGTTAAAAAGTACAAAACATGAATATTATCTAAAATACTTCTTTTCCACATTTCAAAAAGGGAACTAAACTTTCAATTAGGCAAAATAAATTATGTTTATGTAATTTATATATAGACTATGTTAAATTCTGCAGTTCATTTTACAAAATTTGCAAGAGTGATGGGGAAGGGAAGGGAGGAAACAGGAGAGGAGGTAAGGAAAGGAGAGGATCTTTGTGTAACTGGAATTCTTAAGAATGACCTTCTTAGTGACCACTGTAAATTCTAGGAAGACTGGAATTAAATCGTAGTTTTTAAAAATCATTTGGATATTATAAAACTGTGTATTAAATATTCAAGTAAAAGTAAATGAAAGAAATTTTCTCTTGAAGCAAATTAAGAGAAAAAACAGTCTTTCAGAATCACATGAATATCTATGGAAACCTTCTCAAGTTAAACTTTTTAAACTGTATTTTTCTTATTTAAAATGGATGGCAGTAGTAAATATTCCAAGAGGAGACATGATCACATGAGAAGAGCCCTCTCAGCTGTAACAGGGACAAGGTAAACACATCACATAATAAGGTCCACGAATCCATTGTATATTATGTGACGCATTTAGTGTGAGAAGGGAAACTCCAAAATTGGGCTGGAGGAAGGGGACAAAAAAAATGAATTGAGATGTGTAACATACATGTACCAGTTCCCTACAATGAATGTATCGTTATGTTTTGTAAATGTGTACTAATACAAATTTAAGAAATATTAACTGGCCAAGAATTAGTATATTTGCACTTGAAATAAAAAAATCTCAAATGCCCTTCATGTATTAACTTCCCTTATGTCGTTTCCATACTGTTACATTAGTACTATTTCCTTAAAGTACAAGTTTTTTAATGTGTAGGGGTTCCTGGAGAGAATTAAGAAACATATAAAGGGAAGTACATGCTAACTGGAATCTCCTTGTATTGGAAGTGCTGGTGATTTTAAATATATATGCACCGAAATGAAATCAGCAAGATAATATCAATATAACAACTAATAAGCCATAGCATAAGCCTTTGGTCTTAGACTTAAGCAACCAGTATCTCCTAACACTCAAGTGTGTACCTGACTCAGTAAATGTTACACTAGAAGAAAAGATATCCAACCCAACGTACCATGAGAATTAAACTGTAAATATTTAAGTTGATTTTAAAAACACCAATAGAACAAAGTACACACACAGAGAAAATCATGAACTGTACTCTACAAAGTAGAAACCCATTACTCAACAATAATGTGATTTTTTTTTTCATTTTTCAGGAAAAAGTTCAGCATCTACAGAAGGCTTTTGCTTCAAGAGTAGATAAATCCACACAGACAGAACTCCTAGGTTGTGATGTAAGTTACTATGTAAAATTTATTATTTTTTTTTATATTTAGGCCTCCACAGCTTATTTACTTCAGCTATTTCTGGGTCCATGTATTGATTTAATAGAATTTAGTTGTGTTTCATTCATCACTTGCTCTTCAACAATTCCAAAACACCTTCCAGAACTGAAAAAGATAATGAGAGGTAGCAACCAGTAAACAAATCTTATTAAACTTTATAAAACCAACATGTGTAATACACTATTTTGAGTAAGCAAATTTTCAGATATGTGGTAATTATGTATTAGAATACTAGAGCAATTTATTTTAAGAAAGTACTAATTTATTTATTAACAAATAATAAAGATATTATGTGTGCCATCCCAAAGGCCAACACATTCGTTTTACATGTAGTCCCATAAAAGGAAGCATAACTTTGCAGAGAAATTTATCATATTTTAGCTATTGGGCTTCAGTACAGGACACCAAAAGTAATTTAATTGAAAGCTAGTATTTTTTCTTAGTGTGAAATACTTCCTAAGCTGCCAAAATAGGACTGTGAAACATTTTTTAATATAATATCGATTCTAGTAACACTGCATGGTTCAAAAAACTTTCTTAAACCCAGCTATGAAATTTGCTTTTTGTGCCAAGTTCATGATTTAAACTTTCTTTGATGAAAAATATAAAGGAATTAGCTTTAATTTGCATCTAACACTGTGAGAACGCTCCTTCTGCTTAAAAACATTTATTAACATTATTTTTGTGCTTTGTTGATAAGAGAAATATAATTTTTATGAAGATGTATACTGTAATCATAAAGTATGTTTATCTGCAGGCATGTACACATTATATTAAATAATATAAAAGTAGATGTTATTTTTGTGTTGCCATGCAAACTATTAATACATTTAATATTAAACTACTGATCTCTCTTAGGCACTGTACCAAAGATTTGAATTGCAGCTCAAATTATTTTCCAATGTTTATATGCTTTATTTTTAATATAAAAAATGAATAAAGCTATTCTTATTTTGAATTTTCCTACCACATTCATTTTAATATGCTTCCTCTAGGTATCTAAGTCTTCTAGATATCAGTCTGTGACCACAATACTTTTTGACTCAAAGCGTTATATATTATTCATTGATGTTATTTATTTTAAACAGAAATAATTTCTATAAAACTCAAAGAGCATTTATCACAAATTATCCAGTATTTATCTTTTTCGGGGGATTTTTTCTGCTTAAAATTTTCAATACATTTTTACATCAGCCCCTAGGACATAAACCCAATATATATTTTATTAATGATTACCCATGTCTTTGCAAGTCTGCAAGTCAGAGTTTTTTCAATGAGAATAAAAGACCATAATTCCTATCATATTGTATTCCAACATAGCATCATATATGCACATGTATTAGAAATTACCCTAGAATCCACTGCTTCAAAGCTTTCAGGTTTGAATAAGTTAACTGAATTCCAGAAAGGTGAAATCCTTTATTCAGTATCCAATAATCTTTGTGGGTGTCCAGTCTTTTACTTAAAAAGAAAATGTGTTCTTAACACAAGAAAAAGGAAGAAAACAAGCATGCATTTGGATTCATATATTGCATTTTCCATTTTCAGAAATAATGTTTGGGAGACTAAATTCTAACTTGAGCATAAATATAAAATGTAAGAATTTTATCTAACACTGTTGTGTTTATATAACAGTGTCAGTAACTGCTTGTAAGGAATATTTACTAAGAAATCAATGATACATTTGGAAAATAAGCTATTAACAGTTATCTATTAACACCATGGCTTATAGAAGCCTCTTCTGAATTCGCTCATCTGTGTCTCATAATATTATTTCTATAAAATTTTTAATATCAATGCTATTTCATTTTCTAAACCTGTAAATAAAAATTTAAAAAGTAAAACCCTAATCTTCATTGTTCCTAGAATGTCTTTACATGTGACAGTGGCAGTCTAATATAGTTTGTGAGACTGATTTAAAGTTAAAAGATAATACTTTCTTGCTTGTGAGTACTTAAAGAGTCCTGTTACACAAAGGTTATGATTTGAGTAGTGATTAACATATAATATTAATGTGTGCTAAATATTTCACCTTTCACATTTCCTAGTCATATCTTCTAGGATATAATCATCAGAATACATAAAATAATGTCTAAATATGAATATAGATATTTGTGAAGATAACTGTAGTAATAAAATTTAGGACATTTTGAATGTGAAAAACTGGGCAGGGAAATCTTTTAAATGAAAAAATTAGAAAAATTAAAATAAATAAATGATGGGAATTATGTAACTATTTCAAAGTATGTGATTCATCTTTATTATAATTTTGCCTTTGACCATGAGACATTTTCTGTACTTTTCATACTTATTTAAATAAATAATATCATATTTTCATATGAATAAGAATAATGTATTCTTATATTTTGTTCAAATCTTTTAAGAAACATATTTTTATATTGTATTTTTCACAAAGTATAAACATACATTACTTATTTATAATTTGCAAATAGCACTTATCAGAAAAAATTTGAAATGTTGTAGGAATGTAATATATTATCAGTGGTTTTGAGAGCCCCTAGTTTTTTTCTAGAACTGTCAATTTTAGCCACAAATTGATACAAACGTTTGTCAGTTTTTCAGGGATTTGAATGTCAGAAAATATCAAATTGCAAGTTAGCATTAATAATTTTTGAGGAAATTACTTATTGCTACACATTTTGCATAAAATAGGAATTATAATCTAAAGAAGACAGCGATCATAATAAAATCTATTAAAATCTACTACATTGAGTAAGATTAGGGAATTGTATAATAAACTACTTTTATCCTGGAACAAACTGATGAAGAGTCTTGAAACTAATGTTAGGGTGTTGTGCTCTGATTTCTACTGCACCTGCCAAGAATTTTTAAAGAATAAATTCAGTATATCAGCACAGGCCTGTGATCCCAGTAGTTCTTGTGATGAGGGAGATTATTAAATAAATGAAATATGTGTCTTAAGTAATGCCAATTTAACCTCATCCCCCTTCCTCTGTGCACAGGCTCAGCTTATTGAAAGATCAAAGAATAATTTCTTAGGTGTCACTTGTGTTATTAAAACAGGTTAGAAGGTGAATAGATACACTCAAGTAGCAATGTTGCCCATTACAAGATTATATTAAGAGGTAGAGAAGATTTTTCTGATTGCATCCACTGTATAAATAAATGCTTCAACATAGCACATGTACTGTAGCTTAAAATACTGCAAATAACATTTTGATTAAAATATCTGAAAAGGAATTGGCAAAATACTACAGTGAAGATCTTATATTCTGACAGTGAGAAAATTCATGTAATTTCATTAAATATAGGTTGTCTGTATTTTTTTGTTAATAAATAAGACTGACTTTAAGTATAAAATTTCCTTTCAATTAATGAATGAACTTCACTCAGAATAGTCAAAAAGCCTCTAAATTTCTCTAGAGACGCTAACATTTTAAGTAAAGGAAGTTTCTACTTCCATTAGCATTTTTTAACTTACTGTCTATTTAATAAATGTTCATTAGTCTTGAACTTGCAAGATTTTGTTCATATTTTAAGACTTTTGAAGTTATCAGAGATTTCCTCAAATATTAAATTATTAATTGCTATTAATCTAAATATTATTGGTATTCCTCATTGGCTATTCAAGACTGGTTTTTTGTGGCATCACACACATTTCTGCCTCAGTCAAGGGTAAATACACTTGATCTTAGCCAAAAGGCCGAGAAGCAATAGTCAAGGGTAAATATAAAATGTCAATCATTTTAGTAGTCGATGTTTATTCCGCTGTGTATTTTAACAGGGCTTCTAAATGGTAAGATTTGGTTTATAATTGCAGCTCCTACTTATATGTTAGGAAAATAATAAAGATGATAAAAATGTGCCTTATCAGCACATATATTGACAAACGTCTCTATAATTTTCTATGTATTTTGCAATCTTTGCTGCATTCATTAGATTTCAATGTGTAGGTGCTCCTGGAGTACTTATTGTGCAGAGACTTAAAATTATCAAAATAGTTCATCATGTAATATCCATGTAAGGAATAAGAATGACCAATTTTTATTGAAATTATTTTATTAGCTATTGGGTAGAGTAGGAGAGTTTTTTCTGTGATGTGCTAATATTTGTCAGTCTTTGGAGTAAACCCAATTCTCAGAACTTATATGAACTAGGCTCTCTGAGCATCCACCCATTAATAAGCTGTAGTTTATTGAAGTTTTCTGTTCAGAATCTATTCCTTGCTGTCATCACTCTTCAGGTCAGTCCTTCTACAGGGCATGTAGGAATGTACCTGGGCAGTTATAAGTAAACATGTCTTCCTCCTGGGTGCTTCACTTATATTCATGTTTATCATATTGATATTCATTCACCTCAGGTATTTCTGTGCATTTTTTTAAATTAAAAAAGTCAGAGTCATAAACTGAATTGCATATTCAAATTTTTGGTTTTGGCTATGATTTTTCATATTACATGAAAGATAATTTCATTTGCAAACACTAGCATAAAACATGATCACCTGCCACAGGTCCTCATTAACATGCAGGAGTCTCAGCTTATGCAGTGGTGCTGTTCTAAGGGGATCACTTTTGAAAATCTATTTGTGCATTAATTCAACAAATATTTCTGAGTTTCCCCTAGAAGCCATCCTGTTTTCTAAGTACTAGGGATGAATTCTTTAACTGAACAACAAATATTCCCACATGGAATTTGCAGTTGGTGAGGGCATACTTACAATAAACAATATGCATATTAAATAAATACATTATATGATTCCTTAAATAGCAAATTACATAATTTGTTAACTGATAAATTAGAAAATGCTAAGCGCATGTGAAAATGAAAAACAGCACAGGAAAATTATAACTGTGAGTGTATGGGGTCCTCAGAAATTTTAAACTAGGTGATTTGGATAGATATGAGGTTTAGATATGGGACACAAAGTAAAAATTATCTTTAATTTAAAAATTCCTTGAAAATATATC